CCAAGCAGCTAGGCCATGTGTTAGGCACGAGCTGCACTTGAACACAGAAAAACTCCAAAGCTGGCATAAAAAATAAGCCAACCTGCTTATACACTCTTAAATTCCCCCTCAATCCAGACTCTTAATAGAGCAATATTATTTCTCTATCCAGCAGTAGAGAAAAAGCATGACAATATCCATACCTTGACTACATTCATACAAACCTTTTCTAACCTTTCCTCATTTATGAACTGGGAGTAACACCCACCGTGTAGAGTTGGCATGACTAAATGAGAGATAGTTTATGAAGTGTCTGTCCAGGGTGTGGCATGTGCTACATGGGATAGCAGCCTCACTGTCACCAAGTCCTGTTGGGCTATTGTTTGACCACTGACAGTCAGGAAGTGGCCCAGTACCCAAGGTTTGGCAGTCTGGGTAACTTTAGTTTTGACCACTTCCCTCAGAAGCAGACTGTTAGCTTTCATGTCTGTTTTCAGCCTCCCTTGCTCTTGGCTTCAGATTGGCCACAGGATGAAAATTTCCAAGCATGTCCAAGTCCTGCTTAAGTAGGTTGGGCACTGCACAGGGCCAGAGGAGTCAAGGGAGGGGCTGATCTTCTTGTTATTTCTACCACCTGGGCCTTTCCTACCTTTTTCATCTCTAGGGCCATTTTTGTTCCCAAGGGCTGGGACACTTAGGAACCAGCAGCCCAGCTGACCCTGCAGAGGTCTGCTCCAACTTAAGCACCTTCTATTTATTTTTCCAGCCCTTCCCAGCTTTTGCCTATGGTTCTGACCATCCTTAAACTTGAAAAGCAGAGCCAGAGGGGAGACAGTTTTGGCCCACGTGTCATTATTTCTAAACAAGCTATGATCCAGAAGGGATGAATGGTATAGGGGGAAAAACGTACACAGCAGTGTTAAAACAGTTCAAGTTTAATTTGTTGATATATGGTCTGTACTTAGACAAACACTAAATTCTACAACATACATAGTGTCAACATGGGAAAATACCAACTTTGTCATTGCACATACCAAAGAGTTTATTCAAAAAGTCACTTAATAAAAGCACAGTTTTTGCAAGTTCATCTAAAACTCCAGATAATTTTGAACAAAAATAAAATGACCACTCTAAAATAGGAAAAGACAGTCTTGTGCAAACAGACACACATTCTAGGCATTATGAAAACTGGCTAAATATATGCTCCCAGCAAGTCCCCTTTGTCACCAAATGCAGGATTTAAAGAGGCCAGAGTTGGCTTTCCTTTCTAAGCCCTTGTAAGTCATCCTCTAGGAAACTCTGGATCTTGGCCTAAGCTCCAGCTCTGCCAGGACCTGATGGGGGAGGGGAGAGTGGAACAGAAGAGGAAAGGGGTGTGACATCCTTCTTGGGAAAGAAAAAAGGCACAGTGATGAGCTGGAAAAGGTAGTGAGGAGAGCAAGAGTCGCCTTCATGCACCCTGAATCCTACTGCAGGCTTTGATAGCCCAGCCTTCTTACCTTGTAGATGAGAACAGAGACCTAGAAAAATTATGTGGTTTGCTCAAAATCCCATGGCTTCTCAGTACAGTGGTGCTTTCTGTAAGATGAACGTGCCTCTCAACTTGGTTGGGAAATTCAAAAACCAAACCTATCCCAATACTTCTGCTGTGACTTTTCCCCCACATCCTGAGATAACAAGTATGCAAGCCCATCCTCGACCTGTTCCTGGGAGTTACTACAGTTCTACCCGCCAGGGCCCAGGGCAGTTCGGGACCCCAGCTCTAGGCCCTGAGTGCAGGGGCACCACAGGGGGCTGCCTGGCATCCTGAGTCACAGGGATATCTTGGTTGGCACAAGGGATTCAAGAGGGGAGGGCCAGTGTTCCTTCAGTGAGGCAAACCAGGAACTACATCTAGGAGATGGAATGTGTGCTTGCCTAATGGAGCTGTGGGCACCTCTTAGTTTGAAATCATCACTGCTGCTTGTTAAATTTAGAACTGCCTCTAATAAATGGTATTTATCTGCTATTTGCAGAGTGCAGACAAACTTCAATTTTGTTGCCCTTTTTGTCACTGGAGGTGGACTCCAAAAGCTTTCTTCTAGCTTATGATTATCACACTCCCCAGCTTCCAAAATCTGTCCTCAGCACAGGTTTGGACTTTACATGCTCCTTCAGAGCTAGTGTTGTGATTTTTAAGGCACATTCACTAGACCATGTTCAGGTTGATCCAAAAGCATGCATGCAACACACCGATTTCTTCAGGTAATACAGAATGAGAACTGAAAAGCTAACAACTTTCTTGGGACAGTGTCTTCCCAGCCAGAATCTTGGGAGAAAGCTGGAGAAATTTCCCAGGTATGTTTTCTGATCAGAGCATGAAACAAATGAACAGAGTCCACAAGGGATCATAACTACATCCTCATTCCTTTCCTACTCATCCTCAGAAACAGAAGAAACATCTGGATTCTTTGCCAATTGCCCCTTTCCCCCGCAATACACAGAGACACGAGCACGTTGGAGCCAGAAGGAAAGCAGAGCTGGAACTGGAGAAGAGCTGGGGGAGTGAGCCTCACCACTCCGCAGAACTGTCTGGGGGCAGTTTGAGGGGATGCCCACAGTCCCAGCTGCCCAACTCCTGCTGGCACTGCTCGTTCTGTCATGATCCCAGCTCACCCAGTGGCCATCTGAGTAGAGGGTTTTGCAAGAACCCTTAATGTGGGAGAGGCTGAGCCCAGGTGGTCTCCAGGAGCCCGAGCAGCTTTATATGTCTGGAACCATGGAAAGCCAGCATCACTATGATGGGGTCTTAAGAACAGACTTGTGAAGCTGGATCTCAGGTAGGTGACTGAGCTGCTCTTGCTTGTCACTTCAGTGCCCAACGAGTGTTTGGTTGCTGAGCTACCTTTCTCCAAGCTCAGGCTGGAATGTGCAGCCCCCGCTCCTGACCCACCAAAATACCGAGAGCCGGCCTCCTACTGTGTGTCAGAGGAGACAGCAAGGGCAAGAGTTCTCACTTGTGCTTCTGATTTTGCCACCTCTGCCCCCAGAATCCCCCACCCCTCACTAGGATCCAAAATCAAACTGTTCTACCTTAAAATCATAGGCCCAAAGAGAAATCATCTAGTTGCCATCCTCCCAAATGTCAGCAGTTCTCAAAGTTAGGAAAGGAGGGTGGCATTACAGCATTTCACTGAGAAATGGAACAGCCCAGGACAAGAAGTTCTAGTGTCCTCAACATGGCCCCAAGTCAACAGCTGTCTAGAAACCAGAGTGGAGGGCACCTCACAGAGACATCTGCCCAAAGTGCCGGCCAGGCGCGGCCAGGACAGGGATGCCTTGCTTCCACACTCAAAACGGGAACCTTGAATACAAGGAAATGAGCACACTACTTCCACTCAAGATGACGACTCCTTCACTTCGCTTTACAGAGCCTCACTAGCATGTCTAAGGTATGACTATGATTTTTCTTAAAAAATTAGTTGCTATGTAGCCTTTCCAAGCACATCTACTCTGAAATGAGGCACTGCTTACTTCCCACTGATTTCTCAGCTTCATCTGAGCAGGTAGCCTCAGCCAGGGTAAGTGGCAAATAGGCAAGAACTAATGTTGCCAAGTCTTCAAGAGAAAGAGAGGATGGCATTGGAGGGAGATCAGGCTTAGCCCCAGAACACACACACCACCTGTCGCAGAGAAATGGGCAGCAGCCAGGCTAAAGCCTGCTCTTGTGTAGGAGCTAGGCATAGGCCAGTCCTGATCAGAATGCGCTACAAAATGGAGCTGCCTGATTTCCTACTGAAATGATTTCATTTTCGTTTATCAACTCTGACATTTCGAAGTGTCTGGAAAAAGGCAAAAAGGGGAGGGAATGCAGCCTGGGCCCCAGGGAGGCTAGAGAGCTGGAGACAGCACTTTCTTGGGAGGTGGTGGGAGCAAAGAAATCAAGGGAGCAGAAGTTCTGAACCCTATCAGTTAACCAGCAAGTGGCCCAGGGCAAGTCCCATTTTCTGAGTATGATTTGCCTGAAGAGATGGGGTTGTACTAGGTGAGCTTTAAGGATCCTGCTCCCTCCTCTCTGGTGCTGAAATACTCCCTCTCTCCTCCCGTCCCATCCCCACCCAAGGACCACGCAGGGAGCCCTCAGCCACCAGACTACACAGGGGCTGAAGCACAGGCAGGAGCACCGGAGCACGCAGCTTAGGGACAGTGCAGCGGCAGCGAGAGCCCTAAGCCTGCTTGCCTGTTCTGGGGCTGGCCGCCTGGGCCCCTTACATGTTTCCTGGGGGTGGCGTGGAGGTGGCTGGTCAGCTGAGAGCTCTTGGACAGTTGACAGAGTTCCCAAGACAGCCCTGATCCAGGGAGCCTCTCTACCACCACTTGCATGCTGAGCCTGTGTCCTACCCCTCCTCGAAGACATCTGGCCTAAAGGGCCAACTGCCTCCTGCCTCCGTGCAACACACAGAGCAAACCTAGAGAAATCCAATGAGTGAGCACCCTAGGCCACCAGCCAACTCCCACAGCTGGGCCCCCGCAATCCTGCCAAGGTCTTGCCTACTTCCCCAGCCTCCAGAACCTCTCCCAGGCCGGCCTGAGGCCTGACATGGGAGGACTTTCTGCAGCTGTAAGGGCCAGGCTTGGCTACCTTGCCCTTTGCTGTCCAAAGCTGATGTGCCACCTTGGCCCCGCCCCACCCCTCACACAGGCGCTTACCCTCACTGTGTGGGACCTGCTGTCACCTGAATCCTGGGCCGAGTGGCTGGCTGGGCCACAGCAGCCCTGCCCTGTGCTTCCTTTCCTGCCTGCCCAGCCTGGCAAACATGTTTGCAGCAGGATGCTAACCCAAGAGTGGGCATGTGTGTTCTTGGGACACAGAAAGAATTCACTCTGGTCCTTTCACACACACACACACACACACACTCTCTCTCTCTCTCTCTCTTCTGCCTCAGCAGCAGAGGAGCCAGTTCCTGGCTGGCTGGGCCAGGAAGCCCACTGAGAGCCAAAGGTTCATCTGGCAGGGCGCCTATATACAGAGGGTAGGCAGAGCTGTCTCCGCAGGCAGGTGGCTCCATTCCAGGCCGGGGAACCCCAAAGGGCACGGGAGCCTCTACTCGCAGGCGAGCTTGCTGTCGAAGCTGGACAGGGCGATGGCGAAGGCCTGCAGCGCACACAGTGGGTAGTTGTAGTCCATGGTGAACACATCCTCTGCCACACGGCCAAACTGCATCACGATGTAGTCCGCTGGAGCCAGGTGCAGCAGAGACGCAAAGACGGAGCAGGACGGTGCAGATGGGGAAGGACAGACACCCAGCTCACAGGAGGGAAGAGAGAGTGCAAAGCAGAGATGCCACGGGAGTGCCAAAAGAGGTGCAATGGACCAATGGGGAAGTGGCAGGGGAGCGAAAGCAGATGGCCAAGGAGCAAGATGCATATAAACACCAAGAGACAGGAAAAGAAAATGTCCATTTAGTGGGGGTTCCCATGCCTGAGACTGCTGAGGGCACAGTCAGAGCACCTCAGCCATTATGGTTCAAAAGTTCTTTACATCTAATCTAAGCTGTATGATTCACATCTTTTAAGCTCTGGCCTATCTGGGCAGGGCTAGGCAAGCTAAACCCTGAGCTAAGGGCCCCGGTACCAAGTGGACAGTTATGAGTGAGGGCAGAAACACTCACGGTCATTGCCATGGATGATCTGGAAGTTCTTCACGGAGGCCTGTGTGACGCGCCCATGGAAGTTGAGGACGTAGGACTGTGTGTCATCATTCCAGACAGGCGTCTTGTTTTGTAGCTCAATGATACTCTCCATGTTCTTATTCTGCCAGCGTGCTAGTAGCATCTCTTGCTCCTGGGAGGGCAGCCTCACCTGAGCCAGGCCCAGGCCTTGGCACCATGATCACCCCAAAGAGAGATCCGCTCCAGGGGTGGGGGGTCTCTAGCTTTCCCTAGACCTCCAGGGCTTCTCACACTCTCTCTCCTACACATACATACCAGCTGGAGTTCTGCCCTTAGAAGCTCATGCAGAGGCTCGGACAGGGGAGGGGAGGGGTAGAGACTCACGTTGCGGGGCCGGATAGAGACTCTCTCATGAACCATGTTCATGCCGGGGACAATCACACTCATCTTCCGTGGTCCCTTGAAACCTAAGACGTTCGTCTCCTGGGAAATAGAGAGAGAGAACTCAACATGGCCATCTAAGAACTCTACTACCTACTGGAGAGACTGGGCTGAAGGGAATAAAGATGAACTGGTTTTCACTATTTCCACTTGAATGTATGATAAGCATCACTAAACTGGACATGCCCAGAACTGAGCTCCTGCATCTCCTCTCTACCCAAAGTAGCTCCTTTTACTGTCCTCCCTGCTTCAGTTAACAGCCACTCGATTCTGCCATTTGCTCAGGCAAAGTACTTGGAAAGATATTTGACTCCTCTTTTTCACTCACACCCTATTTATAATCCATCAGCAAATGCTGTCAACTCTTACCTTCAAATGATATCCAGAATTTGACTACTTTCCACCACCACCATCTCACTGAGATCACCTCGAATAGCTTTTAACTGGACTCCTTGTTTCCACCCTTGGCCACCTTGCCCTCCTTCCTGTCATCTGTTCACACAACAGTGGGCAGTCCTGTTAAGTCGATTCAATTCCCTCCCAAGTTCACTAAGAGTAACAGCAGAAGGCTCTACCCCAAACTGCAAGGCCTCACATTTCCTTGCCACTGCACCCACTCTGCTCTTCTCAAGCCAGGTATCCACGACTTTTGCACCTACCCAGCTGGCGGTGCCTTCCTTTGGGGCTTCACCCAAGTACCACCTCAGTGAGGCAGGCCCTTCCTGCCATCCTTGCCAACAGTTTGCACACTCCTGGACATTTCATATCCCTCTTCCCTGCTTTGTATTTTCTTAACATTTATCAGGAACACTTTAATTTTACTTATATGTCTGTTTCATGGCTTATCTCCCCTAGTATGGGTTTAAGACCCATAAGGGTATAAATTTATGTCTCTTGTTTACTACTATATCCTCAGTGCCTCAAACAGTACCTGGAACACAGGTGGGGCTCAGTTATCTAAGAGATTTGGGCTGTCTCCCTAGAGTTGACCAGCAGGTGGCACCCTACAACCACACAAAACAGCTATGGATTCCCAATTGGCCTCCAAGAAGTGCCCACGCCCAGCACGATGGAGTTATCAAGCCCTCATTTTAAAATGAAGTGAAGAAATCCCGTGTATTTATATAAGGTCACTTATGAGCTGTGTGACACTGGCAACTGACCCACCCTCTGAGCTTGTTTCCTCATCTGTATAATAAGCATAGGACCAAGCTCTTAGGTTGAGCATTGAGTAGATTATGAGAGGCCTTATAATCCATGCAGGGCCTTGGACACCAGAGGGAGGACTGGAGGGATGCACCAACAAAAACCCAGGCCTCCTGCCACTTTCTTTCCTGCCTGGGCTGCATACAGTCCAGCCTGGTTCCCAGAGCTCCCCAGGAGCCAGCCAGCTGTGGTCTGAGTTCTGAGACAGGAGAGGTCTGGGGCCCCTGTCGCAGACAGGGGCCACTCCACAGAGGGCAACCCACCCGTGCAGCCTTGTCTACCCACAAAGATGAATGAGATACCCCATAGATGAAGCAATTCCCAAGTATCACATATAACTTGGGGAAGAGAAACCCAGGACTCACGTAGCACACGGCTGCTAGCTCCTGACGCAAGGTTCCACTCTCCAAAGTAGAGGAGGATGCCTTCTGAGGGTTGACTCCGTTGTCATAAACAGTGAACTTGGTGCCCATGAGGTTGGACCTGAATGACAGGCACAATTAGTAGAGGGCCATGCACCCTCTGCCCCAGGACAGGGAACAGCTCAGAGTCTGTCCTGTGAGGAGCCTCCAAAGCATTCTGGGCTAGGCTAGGAACAGACCTGGGCACACTGGTCACTGAATTCCCATCTTTGAAGGTGCTTCATGGGCAGAAGGCCTGGACTTGCTCTGAGCTGAATCAAAAGGAATCTTAGTGCAATGGGGCAATTCAGGGAGGTCAATATGGGTGCCACAGAGACTTGTCCAGAAGGAAGAGAAGTGCGCCCCTCATGGGAGGTGAGCAAGCAGGACGGCCTCTGGCAAGGCTGTAGAGGAGACTCAGCACCCTACAGAGTGGACGAGTTGGTCCCTGTCCTGTCCAGCCTTTGGGTCGTCCTAGTGCCATCTACAGCTTCAGCTCCTTGCCTCTAAGCTTGATTTACATTCCCAAAATCTGGCACTCTGATCCTCAGCAAACCCTCCCTTCTGGAGGCCTAGCTCAGAGCCTCCTCCCACCCCAGGTTGCTCACTCTTCCCTCAAGGGCTCACGCTCAGCACTGCCCCTTGTGATGAACATGTGCCAAGGAATTTCTTCATGGCAGCCTACATTTGCAGTGACATCCTGGAGCCTGGTCCATCACGGTTGGTGGGCCTGTGTCCCCACCCGCCTGGTAGCAGCTTAGGGAAGGATGTTTGAGATCGGCTCCAAGTCTGGCTCTAGGCTGGCAGACCTGGGCGTATGACTGGATCTGATGGACAGGATCCAACCCTTTCTGGCCAAGATCTCCCTCAGGGACAAGGGATGCCCTCTACAGGCAGCCTGCCCACGACTGCTTCCTGGGGGAGCTGGTACCGCAGTTTCCCGATGTAGCTGTCCCCGCCTCGAGACAAGTCTGTTGGGTCCACAGATATGAGGTAATTGGAAGTTTTACTCTTCTTTCTCTTCCTTCCGGCTAGGAGGAACACCTTTGAAGAGGGGAGAAAGGTCATATTCCTGGCCCAGCCTCTGGTCACGCACCATCACAGTGTCACTGCCACTCCCATAAGTGCCTCCCTTTGCTTCAGCTACAGACCACATGCATGTGCATACACATGCACACACTGGCAAATGGGTGTGCACCCTCCGTGATGGAGGCTTTTGTCTCTGGGGAGAGCTGAAAGGTTAATCCTGGGTTGGAGGCTTCCAGTCACATTCCAGCCCCTAGGACCTCAAGCCTGCCTAGGGGAAACTGCAAGTCCAGGCCAGCCTCACCTTCTTCCCATCCTCACGGTCCAGGTGCAGAAAGTAGGTAGGGTACATCCCCCGGTCCATTCCCTTCTTGTCCCGCGTGATGCGGCACTTGATGGTGATACCCTGTGGGGCTGGCCTCAGCGCAAACTCCTCAAGGTCCTGGACCTCAACATCTCCCGGTGGCTCCTGGGCGGTTGGGCTGGGGGCTGAGGCTGCCTCCTGAGGGGAAGACAGTAAGAGCCTGAGCCCCGGAACCCCAAGCAGCTGAAATTGCTGACCTGGGATCCAAAGCTGCCCCATGATGTGGCGGTGGGAGACGGCAGCACTCCTGGGAAGTGGGCCTGGCCACCCTGGCCCAGGGTTAGCAGCTAGCTTCTTAGCCCCTCTGTCACCTCCTCAGTAGTCCCTGGGGGTGGAGACGGGATTCAAGCAGGTTCTCAGAGCTCATCCTGCCCAACTCAGCTCCCCGACGCTCCTGGTCTGGCTGAAGAGAATGGGAGCCCAGGCCACCGGCCCCTAGCCCCAGGAAAGCCAACTCTCCGTCATTTCTTCACACCCTATTCTGCCTCCATCCTGGGTCAACAGGCCTCTGAACACTGCAGTCCATGTTTCTGCTGGGTGCGGAAGCTGCTCACTCACCCTGGCCGACTTCCTGCTTGTAGCGGAGCTCGGGCGTGTGTTGCTGTTTAGCTGGGAGGAGCTGGAGCTGTTCTCGTCCTCATCCTCCTCTTCCTCTTCAAAACTCATGCTGCTGGAGACACCTGTACCAGGCAGAGGAGCAAGAGGGGACAAGTGGTTATCACGCACACCTGGACAGACACCCACTGACAGCCATATGTATGCACATGCATTCACACACGCTCACATATGTATCCAGATACACAAGGGACACTCTCAGATGCCTGCATGAGCTGGGGCTGGTCACAATCCTTGGGGCATGCCCCCTCCCAGCTTCAGCTCAGTTTCTCCATCCGACCCCTCCTCTCTGGCAGTCAACCCTGTCTCCTATGTAGCGAGTTTGAGTTCAGCTGACCTTGTGCTGGGAGGGTCCTATCTGGGAATCTCCAGATCTGGCCTCAGGCACACAGAAGCCTTGGCTGGCAGAGGCCATGGACTCTGCTTGGGAAAGGTCCAGCTTCTTAGCCTGATGCATGGGGTCCACCAACTCCCCCTCTTCCCTCCCACCTGCCCAGGGCCCTCTGTGTGCTTCTCCTCCAAATGCCATCTCCAGCCTCAATCTGCCTCAACAGCCCTTTCTTGAGCAAGTCTGTCCAGTTCCTCAGAACGTATAGCACTGCTGGGCTTCCCTCTGCCACCCTGCACCAGGGGCTCATGGTAGGGAAACTATCTGGGCAGCAGGCTTCCTGGGAAGGTCTGCTCTGCCTCTTGAATCCTGGCCTTGCTTCCTGTAGCTCTGGAGACATGGAACATTTTACAAAAGGAGCTTTTATAAAGGAACCAAAGGGAAAGGAAATCTGTCTCCAAACCTGGGCCTCCTGAGGGCAGGAGATGGGGGTGGAGACAGGGCTGGGCTGTGGACTGGTTGGCTACCCTACTTCATACTTCCTTCCCCGAACCTGGCCTTATCAGGAGCCCCAGCCCAAGTTTCTCACTGGTCTCCAAGGGCATACCCCATCAAAGCCTAGGAAGGGCTGCAACAGACACAAGAAGGCCATGCTCCTCAATAAGGGTTATTCTGAGAACCTAGGACTGAGCTTCGGGTGTCACTGGACCCCATGGGGCTCACCTTTCTTCTGCATTGTGGCACGGAGGTCCTGCCTGCTGGGCCACGCACACCCACCGGCTGTCGTCTCCCCAGTGTCCTGCGCATGATCTGACTGGCCCACAGTCAGGATCTGCACCGGGCCTCGGGCCTCAGGCTTGTCTTCTGCCAGTGCTGCTGGCCCTCTGGTGCCTGCAGGCCACGGACAATCCTGAGTCTCGTCCAGGGGTCGGGAGAGGGAGGGCAGAGTCTAGATTCTTAGACATCTATGAAGCAGGTGAGGGATGAGTGGGGGGACCCTCTGCAGAACTTTATTTGCAAAATTAATTTTTAAAAGAACTAATAACTGCTGTCAGCCTCTAATGATCAGTAAGTTATGAAGGGACATGGACTTTGTTTCTTCTGCTCTTCCCCCAGACTAGTTGCTGAGGGTTGGTTTGAAATGCCTCCCATCCATAGGCAGATGGCAGCCATCTACAAAACCAATTGCACAGTGAAAAAGGTTCAGTGGAGAACAAGAACCCCTCCAGACCGTAGCCAAGGCCACCACCTGCTCACAGACTTGGCTGGCTGCCTAAAGGGCATTAGGAATGATGTTCTTTTACACACAGACTTCATACTTCCTTCCCCTTCCGACTCACACACGTCATTAAAAACACATGGAACCCCTTGAGAAAAAAGACTGCAGTTAGCATACACTCATGGTCCCAGATGCAGGGGCTCCCATCCCTTATCAGCCTTCCAGCACAAGCTGCTGTAGTTTCAGTAACAGAAGCAAGGCCTGCCCCACCCAGGCAGTACCCAGCCTGCTGGGCCGGGCTGTGCCCCAGATGCTGAAGTCAGCTCCACAAGCCCATGGATGTGGACACACCACTGTCCTCCAGGACCCAGCAGCCTGGGAATCACTGCACATGCTCAGGGTAGAGGAAACAGCGTCAGGTCAGCAGAGAAGGGACTCTGGGCAGGGGCCACTCTAATATCCTTGATCTCGGGGGATCTTTTCTGGAGGGAGAGGAGTGGAGGGAACAGACGGGACCATGGGCCTGGAGGGTGAAACTGGGACCAGAGGAGCAAGGAAGTCCACACGAGGACTGAGTGCCACCTTGGGATGCAGCAGGCTACCTGGGAGGCAGGGAGCCCTGATGGAGAAGCAACCTGGGCCAGGATGGAGGTAGAGGGTGCTCAGGCTGGGGCGAGGGGCTTCCTGGGCCACAGCTGAGCTGGACCTCACTTCCTGGCAGTATGGAGGGCCTGCCCACACCCATAGGCCAGCCCAGGGTTCCCATGAGCGGCATGGGGACCCAGTGCCATTCTGTGCCTTCACCAGGGCCTCCTGCCCTGTCCGCTACCACCCCGCCTGGAGGATAAGCCTGCCCACAACCCACAGGGAGGCCAGGCCTCCTGAGGAAGGCTGTAGTGAAGGCAAGCTGACCTTTGTGCTTCCCCTTCTTCTCCTTCCTAGAGGCCCCGCCCTGGCCCCCTGGCGCAGCTGCTGCCTTGGTTCTCTCGGCAGAGACTGGTGCTGGTGGGCGGGCGGCTCCCAGTTGCACACCAGCAAGTGGGTCGGCCTCTTGAACTGCTCAGGAGAAAGCCCCAGACAGGGAGGGAGAGAGAGATGGGCAGTAGGTCAGACCGGAGCTCCATCTCAAACACACTTCCCAGCCTATTTCCCAAGTCCCCAGCCCCCCGCCCAGACCCCACCAGGCCTCTGCACTGCCCATCTCTACCAGGCAAAGGCACTCAGTGCAGGCTGAGCTGGAAGGAAGCAGCACCCCCAGCCCAGTGTGATAAAGCCAACAGTCCAGCCCACAACTTGTTCAACCAAGAAGCAGAGCAGTTGCAGCTCTGGCCAGCAAACCATCTGAGCCTGGGCAGGGGGGGAGTGTTAGCCTGAATACAGGTCATCCAAGATGGTGAATGAAGACAGAAAGGGCTGCATCTCCTGGAAGAGCCCACAGCTAGGGCAGGCACTCCAGGGAGCCCGCACTGGCTCTCCTGGGGTGAGCTACAGAGCCTGGGGTGCTGGAGCACCCTGAGGCAGGAGGTAACTCTGGGATACAAGAAGCTACATACACCAACAGACAGGCATCAGAAGGGTCACAGCTGGGTGGCCTCTGAATTCCTCACACATGAGAACCCCAATCTGCTCAAAGTCCTTGAATGGTTTCTTGTTGCCCTTAAAACGAAGACCAACATTCTCCTACAAGTCTGGCTCCTCCATCTGCCTTCCCCTTGGCCTAACTCATCACCTGCTGGGCCCCCAAGTCCTGGCCACACCAGGCTCCTTCAGTGCAGCGGGCAGACTGCACTCCCTCATGCCGAAGTGCCGTGCTGTGTCCTAGCTGTTCCACTGCCTGGGCTGCCCTCCCCCCGTGCACCACCTGCAGATCCCAGTTCAGGCTTCAGCTCCTCAGGGACGCCTTTCCAGGCCCCCAGGCTGGGAGAAGACTCTGCCATTCCTTCTGCAAAGCACACCTGGGACAGCCTGTTCAACTCTCTCTCTGCTCCTAGACCTTAAGGTCCATGAGAAAACAGAGACCTCACCCTGGACCCCTAGCTCCCAATCCAGAGCCAAAAGTAGGCCCTCAATAAATATTTAAGAAATTGATGAATATATAATATGAACAAGCACAGAAAGTCAAAACTGTTTACTGGGATAACTTAGCTCAGCTCTGATTTCTGTCAAACTCCCTTATCGTCCTCTGGGAATGATCCCTTGTATTTAACACCAAGAGCCAGCAGAGGGCAGAGGCAGTGAACGCTGCAGGTCGGGCTTGGGGTGCTCTTGGAAACATCAATCCCAAGTCTGCAAACCCGGTGTGCAGCTACCTCCTTTGGGCTTCGCCCACATTCAGAGGTGGGCAAAGACTGGACCCCCAGAGAAGCAGCATGCACCCAGCCTGGTCTGGAGTCTCAGCAAGAGAGCATATTTAGCTGATATGACTTGGGAACCCATGATGGTTGCTTCAATTTTCAAAGCCGTGACACAAGAGAAGTTTCCCCACTTTAGGGGGAGAGAAAAGCCCAAAGGGGGTAAGTGACTCACTCCCAGTTACAAGTGAGCAGGTGACCAGCGGCATGCCCAGGAACCGTCTGCCGACTGGTCATGCACTCTCTGGGCAGGCCGGGCCCTGATCTGGCATAGCCAGTGCTCAGCGAGCACCTGCCAACGACTACACATCAGTGCCCCGCAAGACTCCTCCAAGGCTTGGGAACTTGGCCTCTCATCCCGAGTTTCAGAAGCAGGCTCCAGTCCCACATGCAGCCCCGAATGGCCAGGTCCTGGGGCCATACTGCCCACACAGCAGCAGGCCAGGCTCCACAGATCCCAGAACAGTGGGTGCTTTCTTTGCAGGACAGGGCCGCCCTTGGGACGGCATGCAGAGAGGAAGTGTGAGCAGGAAGGACAGGCTGGGGCCGGGGGCCAGTTCTTTGTGGAGCAGCTGGGGCTGCCTCTCTGAGACGCCAGAGCTGGGCTGAGGTCCCTGTTCCCCTCCTCTGAAGGGCCTCTCCGGTAGAGAACAGACACCAGCTGTGGCCTTGGATGCTGAATTGAACCACACGCAGGGGAATTACTATAAAGGGGCTTCCTATCACACAAAATAATGGGAAGGCCATCTGGACCAACAAGCGAGGGTCAAAGCCCAGCCCTGATGCCCACAAGCAGCAAGCCGCTCAACCCCTTGGAGCCCAGCTCTTTAATGATCACATGGGGATAATGCATTATCATGAGGGTGAAATGATGTAATGCAGGTAAAGCGCCTAGCACCATGCTCAGCCACTGGCCATCGCCCAAAGACAGCCTTTATTCTTAGACGTGATTAGGTTTCCTTGGCAGGGTGGGTTTGCACAGCAGGCATGGAGCTCGTTGTGGGCCAAGGCTGGTGCCAGGTGAATGATACCCAGTTGCTGCCCTCCAAGGCACAGCAAGGGGATGCAGTGAGCTAAGGGCTGGGTTAGCAGAACCAGAGACGCTGTGAGGCAGGGAGTGGGAGGGCCCAGCAGTTACATGGAAAAAGGTTAGCCCTGCCAAGAGAACCACCAGGAGCTCAAACTGGCTGGAGGCTGCAGCCAAGGAAGGGAGGGGAGTGCCATGGTTGCTAAGGCTCCTTCTAACTGAAGAAGCCAGATGCCTGCAACCTTCTGATAACCACTATCTGCTGGAGAAACACCAGGATTACCAGCACCAGCAAGGGACAGTGGGGACTGAGTCTGAGTCCTCCTTTCAGGGTCAGAAAGATGGATCTTTGGCCTGGGGTACTCTTAATCTAAGCAGGAGGGAGGGTCCCCAGCATAGGGATGCAATGAACCCCCACCCCAGCCTGAGCTGCACAGACTCCCGCCCCGCCTCCCCACAATACCCCAACCCCAAAGTGGGCTCTGCTGAAAACCAGAGCATGCAAAGATGGCAGCTGGAGGCTGCTGATCACCAGGGCGCTGCAAAGGGACCTGCAGTCAGAAGCCACATAGACCGAGTGAGGTCAGGGAACCCAGGGAGGGAAGGCAACAGGTGTCTGTCACAAGAGACACTAGCAGGTATGGGCAAGATGTTGATACTGATTCCTCTCAGGAGGTGGAATGCTGGTGGGGAGCAGACTGTTCTGCTCCTTGGAGCACCTCCTGCTCTCAGGGAAATGCTCTGTATCAGAAATCTGGACTTTCGAACTCTCAGATTCATAAAGTTTTAGCTTTCTGGTTCCTCACACCTGACTCAGGAGCTGAGGGCCTGAGCATATGCCAGATGGAGCCAAGGTCCCAGCCTCCCAGCGGCCACTCCACTCAGCTATCTTCCTGGGCTGGGAGCCACACCCAGCCTGGGTACACTGACAGTGTGAGCCCCTCGCCAGCCCAGGTAAGCAGGGAGCCCCGGACCAGCTCCCTGGAGCAGCGCCAGGGTGTGACGCCACAGCACAGAGCCCCCCAGGCTAGCTGTCCCAAGGGCGGCATGTACCTTGGTAGCTGGCACTGCCACTGCTGCTGAGGCAGGACTCCACCAGGGGGGCCTGCTCCTCTGACTGCCGTGCCCGCCGACTCCGGGGCCGCCCATCGGCATTGGCCTGCACCATCAGGGGCTCCTGGCGCTTCTTCTTCTGCTTCTGCTCCAGCAGGGCCCGCTACAGAGGCACCGAAAAGCAGAGGCTGGTGGGCCTTCCTTGCTCAGCTAGGTTCTAGAGGTTGCAATGGGGTCCACAGCCCACTCTAGGCCAAGATCTCACGTCCTTGGCACTCCAAGACTTGGGGTCCAGGAAAAGGAGGGAAAACTCAGCCCATGTGGCTGCCCTGGCAGGATTACAGCACAGATGTCCAGCCTCCAAATGCAGCCATCCTAGCTTGCCTGCTGGGCAGAAGTCCCACAACTGGGGCAGTGCTAATGCTGAGCTGCAAAGGAGAGAGCTCACCCCTCTTCTTCTGGGAGGGCCCCCTCTCCCTACCAGGCAGGATCACCCCAGGAAGGGGGACAGCCCTCCCCCTCTGCACACATGGCAAGTGCTGACTGCCCTTCCACCCAGCCCCAGCCAGACTCACCTGCCGGTCAAGCTTCTGCTGCCTCAGGTTGCTGCCCTCATCATCTAAGACACTGCAAAGGGAGAGAGGGGCACTCAGGGCCTGCCCAAGTGCCAGGACAGGACAACAAGCCCACTCCCCAGCACATCTGTGCTCTTTAGAGCCCTTCATAGTCTCCAGGTACATGGGAGAGGGAGGAAGGGTGGAGCTACTCTCTGGGAACCAGCCAGAGACAAAAAGGTGTCAGCCACATTTCTGCCACTTTGGGGGCTTATCTCCTGCTGGGATCCCTACGGCCCCAAGGACTTCCCAGCCATCCTTGGGCCCAGTAAGTACAGGAGGAGACTTTCCCTGCACCCATGAGCAAGACCAAGCCTGACTGAGATCAGGGAAACCTGTCCAGAGGCATCAGGCACAAGCCAGGCCGAAGGCTGGACTTCAGACCCAGGGGCCTGCACCCTCCAGCTCTTCCCAGACTTCACCAGCCTCTGCCCTCCATCCTCCCATCCTTTCTGGAGGTGGCTGGGTCCTCTGGGGCAGCTCTTTCCCTATTTGTTCAAAGCAAACTCCCATCTCTCCAGGTGTCAGAGTAGAAGTGCTGACAAGGTCCACTCCGCTTCCCCACTTAAGGAGGGCTGAGGGTGCCCTCATTTGGGAGAGTGAAGCAAGAGACCACACAGTGCCTCAGGGCAGGGCTAGGGCTGGGTGGGGAAGCTGCAGGGCAGACACAGACCATCACCCACCCCCAAGACACTTCCCTGGCCACAGATGGCATCAGAGTATCCAATCCTTGAGTCCCTTTGGTCTTGGGCTGGGTAGTATCACCTCACACAGACTCGCTCACTCCCAGGGAGGCATAGCATGAACAAGCAGCTGCAACCACTTAGCTTTCTTTTCAGCCCAAGAGACCTAGATCCAAATTCTAGAAAAGCCAAGGTCAGGATGGCTGCGTGGGGTGGGATGGCAGCCCAAGGACCTGAGTCCTGGGCACCCACAGGCAACCCTGGCCCAGTGGTGTTGGGCCTGCCTCTAGACATGTGTGTGCACACCTGCACAGGCAGGCCCCAGGGCATTAGGTGTGTCCATGATGCCGTAAGTATGTCTTATGCATGTGCACACAAGGGAGGAGCCCCAGTGTGTGTGTGCATCTATAGGTGTGTGTAAGCACAGACCTGGGTACATCTGCATGCAAACCCCTGTGTGAGAGGTGTGTGTGCTTGTGTGCAGGGGAAAGGATGAAGTCAAATCACCCTGAAGACAAGTGAAAGCCACTTCTACCTCCTCCTGACAGCAGTGGCCCTTTCTAGCTGGAACAGTCCTTGACCTGAAATGTCCTTCAGCTCATCCAAACTACTTATGTCTCCATGTGCTGGGAGAGCCAGCCAGAGAGGGGCAGGAAATCCATGGACTACAGACAGCCCCCCAACCCACCTCTAGCATCACCTGTCTGACCACCATCTACGACGACTCTACATATTTTTAATCGGCAGCTGTCCTTCCTTCTTGACATCTGGGGAGGCCTTTCTCTATACCCATGGGCTGCTCTGCACTCAAGGGGAGCCCCAGTTGTGTTCTGGGGCTGTGCACAGAACAGCCTCATTCACCAAACCCTCCACTGCCAGAGCACAGGAAAGAACTACTCAACAGACAGGCTTCTATGTCAAGGCCTCGGTCTGCCTAAAATATCCCACCTGCCTAAGAGCACACCGCCGTATGGGACTCCCTGAGGGCATCACCAGGAGCAGAGGACAGTGAACCAGCTCCTAAGAATTCAAGCTGGCTGGGACGGTGAGTGCCCCATCACAGAAAGCATGCATGACAGGCCGGTGGATGGCAGCAGGAGTTCTGAAGAAAGGTATTAGGGTGAGGAGATGTCCGGGAGCCCTGCCAGGTCTGAGAGGCCACGACCCATCCACCCTAAGTCGATGGCCTGACTGAGCAACATGAGGGCAAAGCACCCGCCCACGCAGACTTGAGAGGCTCAGCCTGCAAACCCCACTGTCCACGCTGGTCTGAGGCATGAGCCGTGCATGCTCATTCACAGTTTCCAGGATAAAAGCTGCGGTCTGGGCTCTGCGTGGCTGACAGGAGCAACAGGGCCTGAAATCCAACTGTGCTCTGCTTGCCAAGCTGTCTGCCCAGGCACGCACAGGGCAGCCTTCATCTCAGGCACGTGCTAGTGGCCTGGCCAGAGGAACCTATGTCACCTCCACAAGATGGTGCTGGCTTCCCTTCCTGCCAGAAGATTGTCCACAGCTACTAGGATGACACAAGCCGCTCGTTCACAGGGCAGGGCCAGGGCAGTCAGCTAGGTCATCCCTGGCGCTGGGCTTGTCTGAGCAGGACAAGGAAGATGGCTCCATGGTGCTGACACTAATATCTAGGCTCATTTGGGAAAGAGGACATCCAGCTGAGAGGTAGGCCCGCATCAGCAAAGCCTCCTCTGGAACTTCTGGGTCACAGTGGCTGCCCGACTGACAAAAGGTGTCCTCACCATCCACTGCCCCACTGCCATGGACTTTCCACACAGTCATGCCTGGGGAAGGAGGCTGCTTTCCATGTAAACGTTTCTTTTTTCCTCAGTCTCAACTTGTGTTGGGGAGAATGACCAAGAGCCACAGGCTTTAGTAGCGCTGGTTACCAGGTAAGATTATCGGTAGGATGGACTTAAACACCAGCCTTCAGAGAAAGATGGATGAATACAAGGGCTAGGCTTCTGAAGAGATTCAGGAACTCGGATACCCTGAAGTGCCTAGAGTGCTGCCTGCCACCTCTCTCGCCACCAGGCATGTTGGGGCGGCTGGAGGACTGCGGCGTGCAAGCCGGAGGCGGCAGCTGAGAGAAGAAACATGTGCCTAGTGAACGAGAACGAGCTGGCTGAGCAAGACCCTCCCAGGAGGGCCAGCAATGAATCGACCTAAACAAGAAGGCTCTCAGAGTGGGCAGGATGGGTGGAGAAAAGCAGGCTCCTGCTTGTACTGGGTGAGGATGGGTGCTTCTGCCTAACAACAATGCATCTGGAACCCACAACTTCTACCTCTTGTGAATAACAAAGAATCCCCTGCAAACAGCAGCTGCTGTGGTGACAATGCGAACAATGATGGCCATCTCCACAGGCAGAAGAAGGGATGCTCTCACCTACTCAGGCCCAGTCCTCACTCCCCGCCCCAGATGGGCCGGCCTTCTCAGCTCCTTCTACAGCAATTTCCCAGTTATTTTCTTTCTCACCAGCACTCCCCCGCCTGCGCCTTTCTGATGGGCACTGTTCTAGGCAGCACAAAACGATAACAGGAGAGGAGACAGTAATGACTTTTTAACAACTTGGGCTCCAATTTGGAATCCCTGCCAAGCCCAGGCTGCCAGCTGCAGCCCTGCCAGGAGATGTGGAAAGGACACAGGGCACTGATGGATGGATCTCCAGCTGACCCTGGTGCTCCTTCATTACAGTCGCCTCTGGACCACAGAGGTTCATGAGGGTCAGAGAAACCCAGTCTGTGCCCACCAATCCATTCTCTCTGCCCACAGTGAATGAGACGGCACCTCCACCTCTGGGGAGAAAGCCCCTCCATATGCCCCCGCCTCCCCTGAGGCCCCCTATAGATGCCTGAAGAGTGAACCAGGCTTGACAACAAACGAGGGCAGGGACCCTTCTCCCATGGGCTGGGAAAACTAGACATGGCCCACACATTTAGGAAGCAGGGTCTCCACCCTGCAAGCTCCAGCTAATCCACCAGAGCTGACCAGGGGCCTGGGGACCAGGCCGGCTTAGGGACAGATCTACACTCCGTGAGGTCACAGTGGAAGCTGCCCCTGCTGGAACCAGGAAATCAGGGAAGTGGGCTGTCTAGTAGCTGCTTAGAAAAAAACAGTGGCAGGTGGAAACAGAGGCAGCTTCAGAAGGAAGAGGATGCTGCTTGCAAGAGTCCCAGCCTGCCAGGAGGGGCTATCTCCATGCCAGCAACTGGATCCCAAACTTACCAGGTGCATCAAAATTGCTAGGGACCCTCAGCCCTGACTGGGTAAGTCAGGACTCCTGGGAAGTTGCCCCAGAATCAATCCCTCACCTCACTCTCTTTTAAAGCCTGTTAACAGGTGACCCTAATCCTCAGCCATGCAAATGGAGACCATGAGCCACAGCTAGTGATCTCTTAAGAACAAAAAAAAAATTGGGGAGTTGCTTTGAGGCTGGAAGTAAGCAAATACAGCCCTATGTTCAGATGGGTCTCCAGATCAGTGAGTCTAACACAGGCCCCAGTTAAGACTGTAGAAGGGGTTAACTGAATAGCTCCAGGGTTGGCTTAAATAACTAGAAGACATGGTAATCACTAGCAGGAAGCCCAAGTTCACCAGCAAGTTAGGGTCCATGTGCCCAGGTTTATTAGAAAAAATGGGAGGACAGTTGTGGATAAAGTGAAGGTTCCTATGGCTACGATTCTCACCTGGCCCTGGTTGGCTGGCTCACTACACATTTGTGGGCAATACATCGTTATTGACTCTATATAAAGAGCTGCACCCAGTGCTCTGGGTAACACGGTGGCATGGCCTCATAGCTGTAGGAGAGCAGAGACTGGAGTGGCGGCAGCACTGAGAACAGAAACTGAGACAGCTGCAGGGGCGGAGAGGCCCAGAGGCAGAGACCGGCTTGCTGCATGCAGACTTGCTCTGAGTGGACAGGATTCTAGTGATCGACCTGCCACCATGGGAATAAAGTTGGGTATAAACCCTTTCATCCCAAGAACGTTCCACTGTCATTTCTTTGGTCTCACTGAATCCATAGAACTTGTCCGGGGCTGAAACCCATTGGCAAGACAACAGCACAGCCAAATTTCCGCATGGAATTGCAGGGACCACCACGGGTAACTGTGGGCAAGATGAAGCCTCTAAGTGGCAAGCAACTACAGCAATTAGACAAACAGTCCAAAGTTTTTGCAACAGGGTCATGCTGCAGTCAAAGAAGGTTTCTAGCATTGTGGTTCTTTTGGTTAGCATGTTTATCAGTGACCTGAAGACAACACAGGCTTCTCAGCCAACTTACAGGTGACACAAAGGAGAGAGAGAAACTGTGAAGACAGT